CTACAAAAAAAATAAATCTTTTCTCTAAGGAAGATATACAAATGGCCAACAGACATATGAAAAAATGCTCAACATCACTCAGTATTCGGGAAATGCAAATCAAAACCACACTGAGATACCATCTCACCCCAGTTAGGATAGCTAAAGTCCAAAAGACTCTGAACGATAAATGCTGACCAGGTTGTGGAGAAAAAGGAACTCTCATACATTGTTGGTGGGACTGCAAAATGGTGCAGCCTCTATGGAAAATGGTATGGAGGTTCCTCAAACAATTGCAGATAGATCTGCCATATGACCCAGCTATCCCACTGCTGGGAATATACCCAGAGGAATGGAAATCATCAAGTCGAAGGTATACCTGTTCCCCAATGTTCATCGCAACACTCTTTACAATAGCCAAGAGTTGGAACCAGCCCAAATGTCCATCATCAGATGAGTGGATACGGAAAATGTGGCATATCTACACAATGGAATACTACTCAGCTACAAAAAAGAATGAAATACTGCGATTTGCAATGACATGGATGAATCTAAAGAGAATTATATTAAGTGAAATGAGTCAGGCACAGAAAGAGAAATATCACATATGTTCTCACTTATTGGTGGGAGCTAAAAATAAACACACACCCACCCCCCCACACACCCACGCCCCCCCCCACACACACCCCTGGGCAGGGGGTGGGAAGAAGACATAACAATTACAATTCCTTGAAGCTGATACCACAAGCATACAGAAAGGAGATTGTTGGGAGAGAGGGGGTAGAGGGAGGAAGGAGGGAGGTTTCAGTAATTGGCCACAGTAATCAACCAGATTGTATACTGACAAAATAAAATAAAATAAAATATTTTAAAAAAACAGTTTCAAGCTACACTGATAAACTTAGAAGATGCTACGAAGTTGTCCAGCCTTCTGATCTGGTTGTAACCTACCCAGCATTAGAAAAAACCATTATCTTTCAGACTAATAAGTTTTATTCCTCTCAAACCTCCCTTGAGACACAGAGAACAGCCAAAAGTTTCCACTTCTAAGAATATCATTGTACTAGTGAAAATGATGTGTTTGAATGATGGGCCAAAACTTGGCAAACTTTAAGGCAAGGCTAGCCATGGGTAGAAACAGGATTAGACAACCCACTGCAGGGTAAGAAAGAAATGGCTGTTTGGAGGGAAAGGCCTACTATTTTAAGTTTGGATTTGTCACTGGGCTTCTACCTAGTTTATTATGCCTTCAGAGAGGAAAATCCTCTGAACTAGTAGAAAAGAGTATCAGAGGTTAATCCTGATTTCCAGATTGCCACGTTGAACCTCTTCCCTAAGAAAAAGACAAGGATAAACAACCAGACTACTTTCTGGAAAGAGAAAATGTTTCTGATTAATTCAGATAATTTTTAATTAGAGTATATACCCAGGAGGGCATTTGATGATTATTTCAACTTAAATCATAACCAAAATATTAGTGCTTTAAGGCAGTCAGGAGGATCAGAGGGCATATTTCAAACCCTTTGGGGATAACAGGGCCACTAGTGCCAATATTGTGTCTGATACTAACCCACAACTTTCCAATTTCTAAGCATTCACCATGGAGACCCAATGAGCCAGGAGTGAGCCACTGTGTCCCACTCATTCCTTACTTCATTGAAGAACCATTAATTGAGCACCTACTTTGTGGCAGACTCTGATCAGGTACTGGGACCAGAGAGATAAAAGACAAAGTGGTCCTTGCCTTCAAAGGACTCACAGTCTTACTGCAGGAGAAACAGCAGGGATAAAACCTAAATAACAGTTATCAACATCCCTCATACTCAGCTCAAGGCAACTTGCACAGATGTCACTGTCAATTCAGGTAGTAAAATGCCTACAGGGTGGGTGAAATAGTTACATTTAATGATGGTACTGTCATTTTAAGAAAACATGGTCATGGAGGGAAAATGCAGAGAGGTCAGCTGAGACTATTTTTGGCTTAATGAGCAAAATATTTTTACCCAGTTTGGCCCTTTGGTACAGAAGACTAATATGATATCACCATTCTATGAAAATAAATTCCAGTACAGAATATCTTTTTTCCCATATCCTGTTAAAAGATTTAAAATAAACAATCAGGCTGCTCCTTAAGTAACAAATACGTTTTTCTTTCACCAACACCAAAACAAACACAATAGTAACAATGCCGTAAAACATGAGCACTTGAGTTTCTCAAATCAATTTTATAAGAATGATTTTTAACAATTACCATCACCAAAACAAAATAATAACAAAAACAAAGAACCCATCAATCCAACTTGACAACAAACTCCACTTACTATCAAATTGTCTTCAGGAAACTTGTCATTCTTTCATTTAATACTCCTTAATGAGTGGCTTTCACAGACAGGACAGGCATTATGCTATACAATGGGCTGAGGTGGTGTAAGGGACATATAAGCCTCAGCAGCTGTATAAGAGTAAGTGTTACACCTGACTATGAACAATGTTCTTAGGGAACCAACTAAGAAAAGAGCCACTCACTCACACTGCCTGCGGGAGCAGGCAACATTTTAATCAGGGCTGGAAGGATGAACAGGAGTATGTTTACCAGATGAGTGGGGTGGACGGTACAGGTTGCAGAGAATATAAGTATGAGGGGTCTTTAAAAAGTTCATGGAAGGATTCATATTATCTTTTAATTCAATTTTCCACAAAGTTTTTGAAGTACTTTCATAAATGTGAAAGGCATTCTAGGCAGAGAAATCAGCAAGGATTAAGGCAAAAGAGCTTCAAAGAACAAGGCCTCTTTAGAACAAGTAGCTGTCTAGCCAGGCCAGAGCATAGGTCACATAGGGACTGACGAGGAAACAAAGGCAGCGGTCCTATTGTTACGGGCCTTGAATGCTGTGCTATGGTTGGCCTTTTTAAGACATCGGAAGCAAGGGAGTGATAAAATTACATCTATGTTTTAGGCAAATTGCTTTTTCCTAAAGGTGAGGAAAGAACCAGAAGGAGAGGGCTGGACTGCATTGCAAAGGGTCACATACTTATTTCCCTCAAGGTCTTTTGCTCAAAGAAACTGGCACAGGGCAGCTATCTGGCAGGAGACAATGCTGTACTTGACTGTCTAAATGAGAACAATTCCCATCTGACTGATTTTAATTTGTATTTTAGTCGAAACCTCTGCTGAGAACCAGAAACTACGGAGGCTGCAGCAAAAGCCTCTTTTTACTTTACTTGGGGAACCTCTTAAGTTTTTGTCTGGGACAATGAAGCACTGATTTGCATCGCTCTCCCCTGGTGGTGTGAGACCCAGAGATCTCCATACCATCATTTTTTTTTGGGGGGGGGGCCAGTAAGGGGATCTGAACCCTTGACCTTGGCTCCATATTATCTTGCCCGTAAATCACATATCAGAGTCCCACCTTCTCCTCCATGACTTGCATAAGGCAAACTGGTCTCACTGTGCCTCGGCCATTCCATTCACACTCCTCCCGGGCCTGGACTGCTTTCTGCTTCTCTCCTCCACTTACCCAGCTATTTTTCTTTCAACAGCCAACACAAATCCCATTGCTTAGGAAAGTTGCCCTGATTACCCTGAGGTTTAAATCTTAGTTCAGCTATGATGCTCGGCACCTAACCCAAATTTGCTGAGCCCCAATTTCTTCATTTACAAAATGGGATACTAAAATTCATTAATAAGGTGGTTGTGAAGATTAAATGAAACAAATTGACACACTGATTGCCACATAATAAGTACTTAATGGTAGGTAATAGTATAAGTTAACATTTATTCACTCACTATGAGTGTTTTACCTATATCGACTCATTTTGTTCTCACACAACCTTACAAAGTAGCTACTTATTAATTTTCTCATTTTATAGGCAAGAAAACTAAGGCACAGAGAAAGTAGGCAATCTGCTCAGTCATACAGCTTGTAAGTGGAAGAGCCAGGATTCAAAGACAGGCTGGCTGCAGTCGGAGCTCTCAGGCACTGTGCCGTGCTGCTCCGTTGCACCATTTCCTCCTCTGAACTTGCTGCTGACCTCACTACTTATGAAATATCCTGATTAAGTTGGCTAATTTTACATGTTTTTACAGCAACCCAGCTTGCCTCTAAGCTCCTTGAAGGCAGAGACTTTATCTATTGCTTCTTTCAAGGGCACAAACTTTGAACCAACAGCCTGGTCTCAGATCCTAACTCTGCTACCTCCAGACTGTGGGACCTTGAGTGAGTTACTAAACCTCCCCAGCCTTAGCTTCCTCACCTGTAAAATGAGGACAGTAACAGGACCTGCCTCGTGGGGGTTGTTGTGAGCTAATGAAGTAGCTAGCACAGTGCCCGGCACATAGTAAGTGCTCAGTAAGCACTAGCTACGGCATCGTGGGAAGAAATTCAAGCATGAGATATTGCACAGGTAAGTACTCTATAAACTTTAGTTGCTATTATTATTACTATTACTGTTATTGATTTTGGAACACCAATGGAGGCAATACTTACAATCTTTTCTTATCCACCACTCTTTTAACTCGGATGGCTCTTTGTTCTGAGTAAAGTTTACACACTCCTGTTGTAGGGAAAAATACCAAAACACAGATGATTTAAAAGGTATCATTACATATAATGAGACACTATAGTCTTCAGCTAGCAAAGTTAAATTCTGCACCACATCTATTGTGAAATGCAACATTTGACCTTTAAGAGAAAATGAAATACTTTTTAAGTAATCTTCAATGAAATCCAGAACAGCAGTCCTGTGCTCCTTCACTTGCTGGGAATGTATCTCCTTGTGGGCTGTAACAGAAAGAAAAGGACAACATTCAGGTCTTTGTATTCAATTATTCTACAGAACAATTCATCAGCTTCCTTAGAACAGTTTCTTTATTGAAAGTATTTTTAAAAACACAGCTATAAAACAAGTTTTGTGTCCAGTGACATGACATTTTTAAAAGAGTAAGATTTATTAGGCTTTACAAGAGTGAAAGATTAAACCCATAGAAAAACTACAGTCAAATAATTTATGGTTTACTACAGCACTTTGGGATAGCATTTGATACAGCCCACTTTTTGAGTGCTGACCCCATTTGTATTAACAGCATCCAATGCTCAAACTGACCTTCAAGTAACATGTTTAAACGAAACTTAAATCACACACTCCCTGCCTGAGCCTGTACCGTTTGCAGCTTGGAATGCCCCATCCTCTCCCCTTGGCCACACGGAGTACCCTGTGCTCTCTCCCTAGCCACTCACATTTTGAGAGTCCCTTACATACTGAGTCAAACTCTCCTTCTCTGGGAAACCTTCCGTGACTCCTAGCTACAAGGATGCCCTTCTTCTGTAAACTACCACATAGAAGTCTGCTAAAAAGACCTAAAAGACTTAACAACTGTGCCACTTATTTTGGTAAGACAGCTGTCATTTATTGAGAGATTGAGTGCCTACTATGTGCAGGCATTCTGTTAGTCCTTTACATATACTCTCTTAATAATCCAAACAGCAATTCTAATTATGCCTATTGTACATATGAAGAAACTAAGGTTCAGAGGCAGTAAGTAGCCCAAGGTCACATGGTTTCATACTTAATTGCTTATTTTATTAAGGTTCATGTGTATTTTCTAAGTATCTCAATGAATGTACGAGAATACTCCAAAAAATTCATGGAAAGAGTCATATTATCTTTTAATTGTATTTTTCCTCAAACTTTTTGAAGTACCCTCGTATATGCTCTTAAGGATAGAGGTCATGATTTATGTTTTTACTACAGGGCTGCTCAATCTGAGATTCATTTAGGGGATTCGGGGACTCTGTGAAACTATGTATGTATGTATGTGTATATGTATGTATAAACTATGTATATATGTATCTTTGTACGTATGTGTGTATGTATCTTTTCTCAAACAAATGTCTATAGCTTTCATCAGGGTCTCTAAGTGATCCACCACAGTTCTAATGGAAGCTTCCCAAACAAAAGTCTGTCATAAACACAGCTGCATCCGGCAACTTTGAACTCTATATACTACTTAATGTACTCTGTATCTGCCTAAGAAAATTAAAGAAGAATCGAGGAAGAAACATGACTTGGAAGCCATTTCAGTGCCTCTGTGAGAATTAAACATCAATGAAAGTGCCATCAATGAAATAATAACCGCCCTAGGGCCAGGCACCGTTCTAAGCATGCTATAAGAATTTAACTTAAATCTCCTAACAACCTTAAGAGATATATCCTATGACTGTCTATATTTTATAGATGAAGAAACCGAGGCACAGGGAGACTAGGTGACTTGCCCAAGGTCACACAGCTAGAATATGGCAGAGCTGGGGTGTGTACCTAAGCAGCCATGGCTCCAGAGCCTCCTCCAACCATGAGGGTTTGATACAAAAGTTTACTTTAGTACTACAAGTAGAGAGCTTAGATTACCCTCTTCCATCCTTATGCCATCAAATCCCTCCCCACTAAATGCCACACAGAACACAGGTGCACACGTGTGCACACACATGCACACACACACACGCGCACACACACACACACACAAAATTTGTCTTCTCTGTCCCTGGATCGTTGGTAAGTTTTTGATTATGTTTGGAGAGAACTTCCTCCTCCCATTTGTTTAACTTGAATAATAGCCTTTTCTTTACTTTTAACAGCTTAGGATAAAACATTGATCAAAAAAGAAAAAGAATTTTAAAGTTTTAAAACCAAATCTTAATAAGAAAATAAGAGGGAATTTTAGCTGGTTGTACCATATGAATCTTGTTTAACTGCTTGATACATTCGTGGTTGTCTGTCTGCACCTTTCAGAGCACTTTACCTTCTGCTCTTAGTTGCTGAATTGCCTCTGAACAGGTCCTCATGAATATCTGAGCATCCTGGTCTATCTGGTCTCGTTCTGTGTCTGTCATCCTCCCATATTCAGACATGATATGGCTAAAAAAAGAAAGAAAGTAAAAGAAAGAAAACGAAAAGGCAACAGCAAATGACAACATAATGTAGTCTGGGAGGGGTGGAGGGAAGAAAAGTTTTCCCTGAGAAAGTGACATTTAAGCTGAGACTTGAAGGATGAGGAACCAGCCAGGCTAAGAGGTAGGAGAATGATCTAGATAGAGAAACCAATACATACGAGGGCCCTGAGGTAGAAAAATCTTCTTGAACAGACCAAATGGAAGCAGGCCAGTCGTGTGTGTGCATGTGTGCATGAGAGAGAGAGAGCAAGAAAGAGAGACAGAGAAAGAGAGATGAGCATGGAGACATGGCAGGAGCCACAGCAGGCAAGTCTGATCAAGAATGGAGGCTTTGACATTGAGAACAATGGGACAACCACTAAGGGGTTTCACACAACACAATGACTTAATGAGATTTACATTAGAAGTTCACTTTGTGAGCTGCATGGAGAATAATGCAGGGACACAATTTGGAGGCTCTCATATATGTGAGAAGCTGCTTAGGCTCCATTTTTTGATGTTGACAAGCAGTCAAAACGCACAATAAAAGAGATTTTAGAAACAAATTTCATTTCTCCTGATATTAAGTTAAACAACCCTAAAGTTACTGAGCTAATAAGGCACTCTGAAGTTCAAAATAGGATCATTTATTACCTTGTTCATCTTCATAAGATCTGGGCAGGTGTGGCAGCATAATTATTAACAGAGATACTACTAAGCCTAATTAAACAGTCTGGACTTTACAGCTGAAATTGAGAATCACAAAATATCACGTTAAAAAGGCCTCACATAATGTATAGATTCAAACCATTCCACTTCACCACCAGCCCACCTAGCCACTTATTCCCACTAAGAATAAAATACAAACTGCCGACTGTCCTCAGGCCCACCTGTGACCTCGCTTCCTGCCACTCTCTCCCTCATCCTCTTCTCTCCAGCCACATTGGCCTCCTTGCTGTCCCCCAAGTCGGCCAAGCATGCTCCTGCCTAAGCCTGGACTGCTCCTCGCAAAAGTCACTTTCTCTCCATTCAGATCTCTGATCAGATGGCCTCATCAGGGCCAGCTTCCCTGACCACCTTCTGTGCTTGCCCCTGCAGCACTTGCCCGACATTTATTTTTTTAGCACCTGTGCTGGTCATTATGTTATTGTCTCTGAGCTCCAAAGCTGCCCTTCTGCCTTCGTTGCTTTGTGATGCAGGAGCTGGGACTCTCCAAATTCTACTGCTACTCTACGACTATTTATTCCTTACCCTGCTTTATTTTTCTTTACAGCACTTATTATTCCCTGAAATATTAAATACGTATGTCTATCTCCTCCCAGCAGAATGCAAACTTCATGAAAGTGGGGATTTATCTTCTCCATTTCTGCTTCCCCAATACCTAAAATGGTGTCCAGCACATAGCAGGTATGCTGACATCAGCTGAGCACTTAGTATATGCCAGACTGACACTATTCTCAGTGCCTTACCTGTGTTTTACTTACTTACTTTAATCCTCACAGTTTATGCACTTACTTATATACTGAACTCCCACATTGTCGGGCACTGGGCCAGGTGCTGAGGGTTCAAAGTTGAATGAGGCTCATTTTTTATATCCACAGAGGGTACTGAACTATATGAGACATCAACACAGAAACATGGAGTACAAGAACTGCGGTGAATGCTATTGGTGTGGAAGTGGATAGTGGAACTCCAAGTTAGGAATGGTCGGTTTGTGCAGAGGAGGTGCCAGGCAGGCAGAGAGGAAGCCACTCCACACAGAGGACAGTGCAGAAGACCAGCTACAAAATCCCATCCTGTATGTCATGGTTAGAATGACCATATAATGGCATATCTGAGAATGAAGAGGAAAAAGAGGAAACAGGCTGGTTCCACGCAAACTGAGCACCCTAGCTATGCATATCTGGGGCCCCCTGGACTACTTCAAGAGGGCAGCACATTATATGTGTGGAGCCACGGCTAAGACCTGGAATCGTGCTCACAGCACCAATTGTCTAGCTCTTAATCCTGTCCGTGACACCAATTGTAAAGCTAGGCGACCACGCTAGTTCTTGGGTCTAGCTCTTAATCCTGTCCGTGACACCAATTGTAAAGCTAGGCGACCACGCTAGTTCTTGGGCTCTTTTACCTGCTGGTAATCCTGCACCGACTGGGCCGATTGTCGAGCTAGGGCTGGGTCTGGAGTTCACAGACCCCTTAAACCCATTTACAGACTGGGTCACAAACACTTCACATGCCAGGCTGCGTCACCAGACCCTTTCACACAGGTCTATGAGTTAGGTAACCAGCCAAAAGGTCCTTGGAAGCCACAGGTTGGAAAGCATGGCTGCGCTGGGTGGATGCCTGAGACAGATGCCCGAGACAGATGCCCGCCCATATGCTTCACTAAAACACTCTCTCTCTCTCTTTCTCTCTCCCTCCCTCCCTCCCTCCCTCCTGAACTCTCTCTCCCTCTCTCTCTCTCTCTCTCCTCCCTGAAGAACACAAGAATAGCAACAAAACTAAAAAGATACATCTGCACACATGTGCACTAACTACACACACACACACACACACACACAATTTGCTTACAAAAGATGCTGAACCACACCCAACTGGACCCGAGGCGAGGGCCCTGACCAAACTATTCTATTTTCCCAACAACTGGTATAGTCGATGGGGACAGTCACCGGAGGATTTTAATCAAAGGAATTTGCTTTCTGCATGGGGTCCTCTAGGGTGGGTGGCCTGGAAGCAGATGAAACTAGACTTCAGGCGGCCTCAACCACAATGAAGAAATCACTGCCAGAGTCCAGGAAGAGATGAAGAGAGTTGGGCCAAGGCACTGGCCATAGGAAAGGGGAAAGAGATCTGAGAGACATTTAAGAGGAATGGGGACTGATGGTGTGCTGGTAAGTGAGGAGAAGCCTAGGATAAATCTCTGATTTACATGAACGCACATCAAGATATAGAACACAGAAGGCATAGGTTTGGAAGGAAAAATGTTCAAGCATTAAAGTACTGGGCCAAAGATGGTATGCAGTTTAGGGCATTAGAGATGAGGAGATGGAGCAAGTGAAGACGGGTTCAAAATCTTTTCCTGTATATTTAAGAGCAGCACTAGATATATAATGGGCATTTGAAACATAGTCATCTAAGCTAATGAATGCTTGCTGGTGACATAGCCTCAAGTTAAATATGACAATAACGAAATTATTATTATTTTGAAAGGATAACTATCTGGCAAATAATTCCAAAAAATGTATCATCATAGAACAAGCACATATAAATGTATCAAATTTTAATTTTATTTACTTTATAATGTACAGAGCAATAATTTTGTTACCAATCTCAATTTACCTAAATATTAGATTCACTTACAGGAAACCATGTTGATGTTTAATCAATTTACTTCAGTTGGGAGAAAGGAGGAAAAAACTGGGTAGTAAAAGTTTATTCACTGGTTCAGAAGTTTAAAGGAATACACTTATTTTTATTGTTTGGGTGATTAGTATATTCAAAAAAGGAAAGTTCAAAACCACAAAATACCATTGACATTCTTCTGCCTATTAATTTAATATACAACTACACACTTCCTGAGGATACATAAAAAGAGAAAATAACATAAATGTTTTACACTTTATTGTAAAGGCCACTGAAAAGGTATGGGCAAAAGTTAAAGACTACAATCCTGTTTTTGCTATAAATATTAAATTAATATATGCCCAGTGTACACTACAAAATTAATCTGTCCAATATACATTATGAAATTAAACTGTTAATACCTGGGCTACAGACATGAACAAAATATAGACCCGGCTTTCAATAAACTATATCACAATAGGTAACACCTACAGGTTTATGTGTGGTTATATATCATAAAACAAAGTTTAACAGTGGTACAACAGTTTTCATGCATTAATACTAATCACTGTTTTAAGCACTTTGCATATATTTACCCACTTAGTTCTCAAAATTCTATGAGGTGGGTACTACTTTAATTCCTATTTTCCACATAAAGCAACTGAGGCACAGAGAGGTTAAGTAACTTGCCAGGGGTACACAGCCAGTGATGGGCAAAATTGGGGTTTGAACCAAGGCAGACTGATCTGGAATCTAGGCTCTTCATCACCACCCTAGAACACCTCTCATGTCATAAAAGGCAGGTGAGTTCAGAAGAGGGGATGCTTACCTCCCACTAGTTGATTGGGAGGAAGGTGATCTATAAACCTTGAAAAGCAGGATGTGACTGTGGGAAGGCCAAAGCAGACACTGTAAGTAACAGTGGAAACAAGAGAGAGGGAGCCTGTCTGGAGAACAGTGAGTGGTTCACATTGGCTGGAGCACAGGAGAGGTGAAAAGATGAGTCCCTGTGGGCCTCCTGTGCTAGTCAAAGGAGTTTTATTCTGTAGCCAATGAAAGGCTGAGCTGAACAGAGATAAATGTGGCAATAGCACGACGGATGGAACAGAGTGGGAAAGATCAGGCATGGGTTACCCAAATCAGGCAGAGAATCTTGCCGTATTCGTCTCCATATTCCCTAGCACCATGAAATGGCAGGCAGGTGCTCAGTAAATTTTTGTTGAACTGGAATTTAAGGAAGGGGCAATGGCAGAGCCTGGGTGGTGGTAGGGGATGAAAAGAGGGGTGGGATCTGAGATGTGAAATTGTCAGGGGCAGAATAGATGTTGGAAGCAAAACATCCTCAGAACCTGAGATCTGGGGCCTGGATGAGCAAAAGGCATTAGTAGAAACAAAGAACACAGAAGGAAGAACAGAAAGAACTGGAAACATGAAAGAAGAAGCCACTGTTTTTTTTTTTTTTTTTTTTGTCTTTTTCCATGTCCAGCAACGGATCGCAACCCTCAGTGTCGCCCCCGCACCGGACCAGGATCGGCAACGGGATTGCAGCCCTCGGTGTTGCTCCCACGCCTCGCTCAGCCAGTGAGCGGGAACCGGTCTGTATGTGGGATCCGAACCCTTGGTGGGAGCGCCGCCGCGCTTCCC